TCGCCGCCCGCCCTCGCACGCACGGAAGGCAGCGGTGGATATGGTGCTTCACCGCCGCTCTCCCGCCCGGGATCCAAAAACGTTGACGCAGCGAGCCGAGTGTCAACTGCGTTCCACCGTGCAACGTTCGTCGGTGGTAGGCATCCACCACGAGAGCGGTTAGGCGGGATTCTCGTGGCAGGATGATCGGGTGCCTCTCGTCACGACTCAGGATTGCATGTTTGAGTCTCCCTCCGACTCTGAGCAGGCCGTGCTCGTCGAGGAACGGATCAATCGCAAAAGACTGCTTCGCCTCGGCATCGCTTCTCCTCGTGTGATGGCCTTTAGTTCAGGCGCGAACCAGACGGATTGCACCACAGCAATCCACGCCCGCTCAGCCTCCTCAAGTTTCCCGGGGTGACAGCGTGCCTGCAACAGAGCCTCCCCCCCCGTTGGCGCGCCCCGCTCTCAGCCATCTGCGGCACCAGGCAGTGACTCGCAGCAAGCGTTGGAGCCCAGGGAACCGATGCAAGAGCTCCGGGTCGTCTTGCGCGGCCGCGACGTGCACCCTCACGCGCTGCTCCGGCGACTCCTCGTCCGGCTCCGGCGGTGGCGACTCGTTAATCCAGCGGCGGGCCCCGAGCCACGCCGGTCCTCGCCACCACAGGGAGTGATGCACCAGATCGCTCGGCGAGAGTCCACGTGACGCACAGTCAGCCGGGTTCTCCTCTCCGGGCACATGATGCCAGCGAGCGCCCGGCAATGCTCGCTGCACGTCGGCGACTCGGTTGGCCACATAGGTTGTCCATCTTGAAGAGTGGCCCCGTATCCACGCCAATGCCACCGTGGAGTCGGACCACAGGTGAACGCGCTCCAAAGGCACGCCATACAGGCTCGCCGCTCGCTCCGCGACGCGGGCCAGGAGCGACGCCGCGCACAACTCCAACCGCGGTAGCGAGACCTGTCGCAACGGCGCCACTCGCGTCTTGGCCTGCAGTAAAGACACCTGGATCTCTCCCCCATCGGTCTCAACCCGCAGGTAGAGCACCGCCGCGTAGGCCCGCTCCGAGGCATCGGCGAACCCGTGGAGCTCCATCTTGTCGCTGTTGCCTCCCGTGTGGAGCCACCTGGGCACTCTCACCTGTTCTATTAGCGGAAGCTCCTGCCGAAAGCGCCGCCACGCTCGGTCCTCCTCCGCGGGTACGGATTGGTCCCAGTCGATTCCTTGTAGCCATAGAGACTGCATCGTGATCTTCGCTCGCACGACCAGTGGCGCCAGCCAGCCCGGCGGGTCGTAGAGTCGCGCCGTCTCCGAGAGTACGACACGCTTCGTCACAGTTGTCTGTTCACATGGCCGTATCCGGTAGGCAAATGCGTCCTGCCGCGAGTGCCATTGTAAACCCAAGGTGGAATGGCTTATGTCAGATTCCCATTCCAACAGACCACCTTTCTGTCGATAGTTCACCGGGATCTCCCGCAACAACTCCTCGTCGTTGGCTGCCCATTTTCTCAACGGGAAGCCGCCCGCCATGCAGAGCTGCAACAGATCATCACGTAATTGCCTGGCCTCAGCCACCGTATTGGTTCCCGTGAGAACGTCATCGACGTAGACGTCCCGCCGGAGCACCGTCGCTGCCTCGGGGAAGCGGCTCTCTTCATCGTCTGCTAACTGCCGCAATGTTCTGATAGCCAGGTACGGCGCGCAGGTGAGGCCGTACGTGACCGTATTGAGCCGATATTCCCTGATCGGTTCAGCTGGATTCGCCCTCCACAGGACGCGCTGAAGGTCGCGGTCGTCTTCATGGACGAGGACTTGACGGTACATCTTTTCGATGTCCGTTGCCATGGCGAATCGGTGTAGCCGCCAGCGCGACAGTACGTCCGCTAACACTGGCAAGAGGTTTGGTCCCGTCAACAACGCTTTGTTGAGGGCGTCACCGGAGGCGAGGCGTGCGGAGCTGTTGAAGACGACCCGGATTTTTGCCACGTCTTCAGTTTTCTTGGTGACCCCGTGGTGTGGCAAGTAGCAAATCCGCGCGCACCTCGCTTGTTCCGGTGGCGACGCAAGAGACATGTGTCGCAGTGTCTCGTACTCCTGCATGAAGTCGGAGTACAGAGTGTGGAAATCAGTATTGGAGGCGAATTTGCGCTTCATGCTGGTCAAGGTGCGCACTGCCGCCCGCCGCAAGTCCTCCAGTGACGGCAGTATGGGTATGGTAGGCAGGCGCACCATGTATCGCCCGCACGCAAGCCTATAATGCGTTCGCGAAAAATGCTTTTCGCACCGGCGATCCTCGTCAGTGAGCGAAGCCACAGGTTGCGGCGGCTCCTCTTGTTCCCAGAAGGATCTTACCAGTGCGCTCAGGTCCTCGGCGACCGAGCACTGATGCGACAAGGCAGGCCCCCGCGGCTCGGCGCCACACATCAATCCCGACAAAATCCAGCCCAGAGAAGTCCTTTGAGCGACTGGCGTGCCAGTTTTGCCCTTGCGGAGGCCGTCCTCCACGATCTTCGCGTACACGTCTGCGCCTAGTAGAATCTCGACTGAATCCGTTGCCCGAAAGTCCGGGTCCGCAAGTACCAAGTCCCGCACGTATGGCCATGCTGTCGCGGTTGATCCGACGCGCCCGCCGTAAACCGAGATGCGCGGCAATATAAACGCGGATACTCGGATTGTCTCACCGGTAGCACATGCTGCCAGATCCATCGTGACCTTGCCTTGTGAAATGCCAGTCTTCTGTCCGCCGACACCGAATATGGCCGTAGAAACGGGAGAGCGCGGAAGGCGCAATCGTTGCACGAGAGACTCCGTGA